TCTGGCTTGCAAAATCTTAGGCATAAAAACACTGGACTGTCTTATACTACTCTTGACCATTTTCTTGGTAGAAGGCTCTTAATTTCCATGAAAACTGTTTCCACGATTAGCCGCACCTTTGCAGGTTCCCTATACTACAACTGGACTTTTCCATTGTCTTCCTTGAATCTGAAGTAGTAAGTTGTAAGTTCACAGCCAGAAAATTCATATTAAACAAAAGGCCAAAGCCTGAACAGAAAACAAGAATTTTCAGGCAGATCAGTATCTAAGCAAACACATGGATGTTCAGCTGCAGGTGGCAGTGCTAGCACAAAGGTGTCAGATTTCACATCTTTTAGCTTGTACCAATCATACAACATCAAAAGCTCTGTGCTCTCAAGTCAAAGATCGATGTTTTCACCTTTGTAAAAATCCGACTGCATGGGAAAGTAGTGTAAGTATCAGAATAAGAGTTAATCTCAAATTAAGAATTATTACATTAGTTTCTACAGTTTTGATGTGGGGTAGGTAACTTCTTTTACTTACTTTTTAAAAAAATCTTTTACTACTCTTTAATGCCAGTGATGGTTCAAAGTAGCTTTGAATAGAAAAACACAGAAAAATATTGCGTGCTATTTTGAAGTGCAGAGATTTTTAGATACAGCCAATCGCATTTCATACTGGACATGCATCTAATTCAGTATTATGTCCAAAGTATATAATTTTAAAAAAATAAAATAAAATGAGTTGAAGTTCACAGTGTATTAAGAGGAATCTGTATGATTCCTGCAGGGTGGCAGGGGAAATCTGAAGGGTATTATTGATACCCTTCAAGTCAGAATGGCAATGACTTCCCTAAGTGCAAGTTTAAGTCAACACTTCAGAGGACTCCAAATTCCTGTTGAAATCCATAGTTATCTATAAAGCATTATTTTAACATTAGTTCTTTAGAGGGAGGGAAGGGGAGGAGATGGAGATAAAAGACACTGTTTATATAGGTGCACGCACATGTTTTAACTGAGGCCTTCCCAAAGAATCAAAGAAGTCTTTTGATGTCATGTCTTGCCAGTGGTCTGTCAGTAGAGAGGATATGGAAAATGCTGTGTAAATTCATCAATTACATATCTTTTCAACGAAGAAACATTTCAAAAGGAATACAGAGATTAGACCAATGACTTTACTACATTAGTTAATAGTCTGATAGCAGTACAAGATTTACCAGGATTAATAGTTATAAATGGTCTTACAGTATTTTGGACCAACTGCTAATTCACACCTTCAAAAATAGGAAAGCTAAGTATTTTTAGGAATTGTTATTTCAGATTTCATCAGTCTCTGCCCCTGGAAATCAAAGCAGTGATGCCTCCCTATCAAACCTCCTCTCTTTCAAGATGTCAGGTTCCATCAGCTGCACAGAAGAAATACAATGCATTAAGTCTACACTGAGTGAGGGTTATGCAAAGGCAATCCGTTTTGAATTTTATGAGTGAGTTTATATACTTTGAAGACAAAGACATAAAATCAACAAATTGTATCCTAGGAGAATTACCGTCATAGCAAAATGAGTATTCTGAAATGGCCATCAAATTAATTTCTCTTCAGCAATTTTCCTTAGGCATATACAGCAAGTATCAACTCCCAGGAATACTGCAATAATGTTACAAAGTTCTTATCAATAGCACCATTAGTTTGTGAGTCTGTGCAGTTATACTTCATTTGAAATATAGCAACATTTTACAGCTGGAGTATATGATATCTCGTGTTCACTGAATTGCAGCAGTGGAACCACACAAGATTATTGTTGTAGATTTCTATTGTGATTGACATTCAGAAACTGATTTCTCTGTCAATTCTACTTGTATAAGCTGCTCATTTTCTTCCACAGAAGTATTTTTCAGGTGGAACTTTAATTAAAAAAACAAACAAATAAACTCCAACCAACAATATAGAAACTTCTACTATAGAAGCAACAACAGAAAATAATTTAAATTTAAATGCAGTTTCTTAGGAAAAAACACAAAAGCAAAACAAAAGCAGAGACATAGACACGCAAAATACAAATAAGCATAGGCCTCAGAAGTGATGGAATGCACTACTAGTGCTATATAGCAGTTCAGTAGACCAACTGTATTTTGTTTACCAAGGAAAGAAAAAGTGCAAGTAAGAAAACAGAACTGTCACAGTGGATCAGGCTAGTGCTTTGACTATTGCTTTATCTACCAGTATGAATTACTGCCTTCTCAAGGGGCCTTACTACAACAGTAGGTAAACTGGAATGAATACACATAATGAAGCCTTCTTCTAAGGCTCAATACTTATTACTTTTCTTGACCAGCAGAACAAGTGCTTCCAAACCTTGTACATTATTACTTACAGATGAAATTAATCATTATTTTATTAATCCTTTCAGTATTTTTATATAAGCACCACATTAAATGATTTGCCAAAGCTATTTTTTCTTTTCTAACCTCAGTCTCTGTCTCAATCTTACTTATTAAAAATAAATGTTAAATTTAAAAGGATCAGATACTGTTTATAATTTTTCAACAGTTACATTCAGAAACTTTGTTATCTTCTAAGGTTCAATATCATCATATAGTTCAGATGCCCCACCTTTCTCTGCTGAAATGAAAAGTTTAGCAAAAGTTGCAGAAATTAGAAAAATACAGAAATCAGAAATCAACAGTTAAAAACTAGAAAATACATTGCACAAATATGAAAAGTAAAATTGACAAATCATTGATGCATTTCTTAAAAAAATTACCTTCTATGTTTCCAGTGTACTTCTGTTGATGTTTTTAAACACTGGCATCGATGCTGGGACAGGATGTTACCACATTGAGGATCAGATACAAAGAAAGGAATTCTTAACTTGAATCAATTCCTTATTACTCTTTTTCTTATTCTTTTCCAAACTGAGAAATTTAAACTTAGTTTTATACTCGAATATATTCATATAAATCAGGACAAATCCAAGTTAGTGTTTTCAATTTAAACTAATACAAATAAAAGTCTACTGACCAGAAAATTTACTATTATTAATTAGATGAAAAACACAGAATTACATTCTGGCTCAGTTATTTCAAAATAACAAAATACTATCAAAAACAAGTGATAGATTTTTTTTTTAATACATAGATAAATTTTATCACAGTACTTTCACTTTAATTCAGAGTAATAGAATTAATTTACATGTGCAAGTCTGTAAAGGTCACATGCTCAAGAACACAGTTCTTAAGTGACTATCAGTTAAGAAATGAAAGCAGTAACTATCAGATATTTGAAAGAAAAGGGGCCTTCCCATCCTAATTCTTAATTTCACGTGTCTTCTAAAGTCATTCATTCAGCTTGAACAGTAAGAAAGAAACCAATACACATTTACTTGGTTTCAAATGACTTATTCCACCATATACCACTCATGAGCATCTCTTCTAATGCATAAAGGTATCCAGATAACACCAACAAAGTATTTTGCATTAAAGCTGACAGTTACTAACAAACTGCAAAACTTCTGTGAAATCCACATTCTGAAACTTCCAGTCTCCAACTGGCTTTCTAAAATAGGACAGAAAAACTGAATTCAAATTGTCTTTTTTCATGTAGAAATTTCATCCTCATAATTAAACCCAAAGAATTAATGAAAAAATCATGAAGTCCTATTCCTTGATATCTGAAGCTGAGTCAATAGCTTACAAAAAAAGAAACTCATTACCGTTTCACACTGGCAATATATTCTTAGAGAAGAGTGATCCACTAATAATTTTTGTCAGTTGTCCTAGAGAAAAGGTTACACAGGTGAAGATATAATTTATTTGGGTTCTTAGGATATTTTAATTAATTTGACAGAATAACTACAGATTATAGGACAAAGCTTTAAAAAAGCGAACAAAAAAAAATTGCAAGATCATCACCTTACTTCCACTCGTCTTCCTTCCTTTTGCAGTTCTAGTGTGTGTCTGAAGGTGGCAGCAATTGTTTATCATTACAGGCTCAGAATTCAGGTTTGTTTTTGTTTAGTTTTGTTACTAACAATTTGTGTAACAGAACAATACCTCAGATTAGATGCATTCCAGTGTCACTACCAGCACATTAGAAACATACAGAAGTGAAAAGCATTTCCTACTATAATAAGTAATAATAATGAAAAAAAAGACAACTCTCCTCCTGCCTTTCTTTTCTTCTACAAAGCATTATCTAGAAACCTCATGTAAGGCACAGACAGGTCTCTTCCCTCGGGAGAGGAACTTGTAATATTTAATACAAGATAACACTGGGAGGAATCTTATACTTACAGTCTTTCCAAATTTGAATATGCTCTTTGTTCTAGGAATTAGAATTAACCCAAAGCTTTCACTTGATCACATTATCACTATACTTAATATCACAGTCATTTGTTTATTTTTACTCAGTGCGGGAAGAATGTTTCCACTAGATACATACATTTTGAAGTTTTAAATATAATGTAAACCAAAAGCTTTTGAAAATGATGGGAAGATTAGTGAAATAGGAAGAAAGAAAGGAAGCTTTACTTTTTTTTTTTTTTTTAACCCGATGTTCCCTCTAGGATTCAAATGAATTGTGAAATGTAACAAAAACCTTCACGGATTTCTGCCAAAATCAAATTAAAGGAGTTGACCTCAGCTTATGGGTCCTTTCCAACTCAGGATATTCTATGAAATTTCAAAATCCATATAGGAAATTTAGTAATAAACACTTTGGGGCAGGCTTGTATAAATTTATATTGTAGAGAAGTCCTCTGCTGCTGTGGGTAGAAAGAAGGTACTCTCAGAAGATGAGTAGTGAATACTACCTCTTAAACTAAATATTTGAGAAATAAAGACATTGGAAGAATTTGAAGAGATGTTTGATGGTGAAACCTACAATTTCATTACTGTTAGATTAGCATATTCAGACTCATGATATCAAAGTATAAATAAGCACACTTAAGCACAGAATAAGTCACATGCAAACCATTGTTTCATGTCCACATGCTCAGAATACTCCAGTTTCAATTGACTTACCTCCAATAATTTTAGACTGGCAGTTGATAAATTCTGGCTTCTTGTCTGTAAGATATCGCTGGCATGTGTGATGAAGAATCTGAAAGAATGTGCATTTTTCTGAAGCAGTGCTTGCTACCCATTGGTCAAAAGCATTTTCAAATACTAAATCAAATTCTGGCGAATCCTAGAAGAAAGAATATGCAACTGTTATTCCAGTTTCATGAATGATTTGAAAAAAAGATTTCCAAAATGATTTTGGAAAAAAAAAACTTAAAAGCAATTATGTTGGAAAAAACAAACAAACAAAAAAACCCCATGAAGATCATGTAACTTCATATCACCCCAGAATTATTTTTTCTCCTGTATATTTCTGATAAAAACACATGCGGGAATTATTTTCTTTTGTATTTTTAATGAGGAATATTCAGCTAAGAAAAGAAATACCTGAAGACAAGAATATTTTAGATCAAATTATTAGAAGTTGGAATCTGTTAAGAAATTCTTCTTAACTACAGGTATGTAGCTACTTTTACCTTCTATATTAACACAAGGATTTTTGTTTAAATATGTTTGGCTATTCAGTCTAAAATATATTTTCATGCTGCATTACAGAAAATATGGTTCTGGTCTCTATATTTACCCAAAGAAAGAAACAGAAAGCACTTGTATTTAATTTATTATCATAGTGTTGTATAGATCTCAGGATAACAAGAACAAAAGATCACTTTCAGAACCAAGTAACCTCCAGCTCTGTGCCTTGCAACAGCTGCCAAAATTGATGGATTCTATGAAAGCTGTGATGCTATACGCTTAGCAATATTTGCTAAAAATCATTTCGTAAACGAATCCAGTAAATATTATTTTTAATCAATGACACTGAACTATAGAATAATAAGTCTGAAAGGAATGTCTAAGCTGAAGAACTTGATAGGACTTTGACACTGAATGTATCTCCAGATGCTATTTACAGAGTTCTTTTGCAGATTATGTGAAATATCTGTATCTATATCTATATCCATATCTATGTCGTTATTCTCATTTTCACCATCCCTCTTATCCAAATAAAATTCTGCTTCCTGCTTTTCACTTAGCAGTGGCCCAAGAACTTAATATTTGTTAGCAGGACTGTACTAAATTTGGTGCACCACTAAGATGCTTATTTGTTTGATCAGAACACAACCCTGAAGAAACCAAGTGCAGTTAACCATGAACATTCTGCTGTACAATGAACGCAGTAAATAATTTTGTTATCACACAATATTAGTCACATTGCTACCTTCTAATTTTGCTGTTTGACTACTGAAGATTTACATTTATAAACACGTTAGTACAATTTTTCCCCAAGAATTCAAGTCAGACTGCATATTCCACATTAAAAAAACATGTAGGCAAAAATTCTGGAAACAATTGCAAAACTACTGAGTGGGTTTTTTGTTTGTTTGTTTGATTTTTGTTTTAAATCAGTGGTCATGTGACACTGGCAGCAAAGGTACACTACAGCCTTTTGTGGATAATCAGGGTGTAGGAATCTGAGGAGTGGACTGTCCTGGGAAAAGGTTCACAGTATTTCCAGAAACTTGAACCTCAGTAACCCCTCCTTTCTTTGTTTCTACTTACTGCCCTTACAACACAGCTGCATGCCAAAATGGAACCCAAGAGGCTTATAGTTGAAGACAAGACAAACACAGCTCTTATTTTTCTCTTTAAAAGAAAAGACAGAGCAGGGAAAAGGGTGCGGGAGACAAGAGGGAAAAAAGAAGATATCTGCTTACGAGCTTTGGCCTCTTCTTGTCTTTCCCATTAAAATCTATTTTATGTACTCCACCAAATAATTTCTTGTTTGAGAATTTGCACTTAAACCTGTCTCTTATCTTTCCATTTGCCTTTTGAATAATGAAAGACACTTGTTCCAAAAATCAGTTGTAAGACCTCAGTTTCCTTTTTCTAGAACTGTTCAAAATTACCTGATTAGGATCAATACCGTTGACCTGGCGAAGCTGCTCAAGCATCCACTGTGTTCTCCTAACAAACGATGTAGACCCTTCAAATTGCTTGACCTTTGTAATAGTTGCTTGAGCTGGTTTTTTGTTTGTCACTAAACACATAAAAGAAAAAATATGCAACAGTAATGGGCTGAATTTTTCAGAAACGTTCTGTTTAGTTCAATGTATCAGTTAGGTTAATGGTTCTGTAATAACATATATATGTCTCTTAGTCAACAGCCAAAAACACTGATAATCAAAATTGTAAAGTACATGATTCAAAACCATGTCAGATCTTAAAGAGAGGAAATCAGTGTAGTATACCAGAAAGGTAGTAGCAAAATTAGATAAGAGCTATTGAAATGCAAAAACTAGAAGTGAGATAAGTATTAAATATCAACTGATTTCTCAATGGTCCATATGTTTAATTGGACCACTCTGACTTAAAGAAAAAGTTACCATGAGGGGTTCAGTGACTTCAGGCTGTACTGGAATATTTTTCTGCAAGAAAAACAGCTCAATTGAGCTGCAAAAAAGCAAAGCCTAACAATTAAACAAAACAGAGATGACAGGCACCATACCTGTACTTACATTGTACAGACAGATTCTGCTTTTACTGCAAGTTTTCAAGACCATGAAGTAGAAAAAAAAACAGTATTTCATGAGCACAACACAAACTGTGGTCACTAGCTTTCTAAATTAATCCTTTTTGATATTTACTTACATCTTTTTGTCAACACCTGTGTTAATTTTGGCAAATTGAATTCACTGGGCTCAGTTCCACTTATCTTCTACACAAGGCTGACAGAAGAAAGTTATCTGAGTGGCCTTAATTTTAGCATCCCTGCAGTATTATCTTTCTAAAGAAATCAGGCAATATTCTACTGCTGAATTACCCACTCGTTAAAAGAAAAAACTGTGCATACAATATGTAAGGCACACATAGGATTAATGCTAGCAGTACTGCAAAACAAAACATTCAAAAATTGGAAGAACTAGACAAAACAATTACTTATGTGTGATGAAATGGTATTTTTTTTCCTTCAGAATCTCATGGATAATTGATTATGAGGGTTACTTTGAGCCTAAACTTGATTTCAACCAACTGCTCTGAAGGGATTCTACATGATATAATTTCTAGTGCTTTTGAAAACGGAGGTCATTTACTATTTTAAGTACAGTTATCAGTTTTTACAGACTTGATGGTGAGATACAGGATGTAAAAACTCCGTAGACTGCTCAGTTAATACCTATTTCCTATTTGAATAATCTAATTATTTACATTTCTCTGCATAGCCCTTTTAACAATGAACAGATTTTCCTTTAACTTTTCAGTGAAAGCCTATTCTTCAGCTACTCTCAACAATTCCTCTTAGAAATAAACAGTTAAAAAAAAAAAAAAAAAAAAACACAAAAAAACACTTGATTAGATGACTGGTTCTATATCATCCATACAGTCAACCTTGAAGAGGCTTTGTCGTACGGAAGAATTTACAGCACTCTTGAGCATCTCAATCATTGCTTTAAATAGCAACACAGCTTGAAGTCAGGAGCTCCTGGAATACTGGCAGTTCTCCCTTTAGGTCTCTCGCTTGTAGTTACTGTGTGCAATGAAACAGATCTAGTTGCATTATACCTTCTTTATCTAGGTATTTAAGGAAAAGAATGGAATTTCTAGAACATTCTAAAAGCAGCTACCCAAAAGACTACCAAATATGCTTTAAAAATCTTCATTTATCCCATAACAGGTTGACAGTAGTGTGGCAGTCATCAAAGACAGTCATTAAAGACGCTCCAGATTCTCAGACTCCCTGGCATCTGGAAGAGCAATGCTCACCAGCTGCCTTGCAGAGAAGCCACAAAGTATGCCTGAAATTGCAAATATAAGAAGGAAAAAATTGGAAGCAATTACATTCTTCCTGACAAGACATACAGACATATTTACTGAATTTGTCACAATCTTTATCTACCTTAATAAAAGACTGTACTAAAATCATGTTTTGATTTTAGTGATTTTTCATTCTCTGCTTGATTTTTTTTCTAACAGAACATTAATCCTTCAAAATATCAAGTTGTAACATGCACAAAGAACTCTTATTAGATATTATTAGATTCTGTAAAATAGATTTATTTATACATTTAATTGAAGGGAACATACATTTATTAGTAAATTAAGAAAATGTCTGAGAAGTCAACTTACAGCAATTAATGATGGAACAAATTAAGGGCTATTTTACTTAAAACAAACAAACAAACAAAAAACACAACAAAACAAATAGAAAAAAAAACAAACATGCAGATGAAAACACAGCACTAGATTAACAAATAATCAAAAAGCAAAGAGCCAGAAAGAGCATTACTTCCGAAACTAAAGACACTACTATTTTGCATCACAAATAAAAATACATCACAGCGTTGTTTCAAAGACAGGTGAAATTTAAGAGGGATGCCTTTAAGTGAAATAATTTTTCAAAAGCAAATTAGAAAATAAGAGGCAGAAAGAATTAACTTTAAATCCCTCTGTGAGAAAGCCAAGAAAGTCACTGCTTTAAAGATTTGAAGAACTTTGAAACAATTATTTGAAATCCAGGCATAAGTTAGAATTCTGTACAACATGTGGCTGGAATCTTAAGCAACTAATCAATATAGCTTTTCACACTGAAAGCTAAGAGAGATGAAACTAATGGTCTAAATTCATTTCATCTGCAGTCCAGAATTCTTTTTTTTTTTTGGTCAACTTTCTAAAATATCTTTTTATGTCTATCCTGTATGTAAACAGCAAAATAACATGAAGTGATAACTGTTTAAATATTTACGTTGAAATATTTGGCCTTGAGATAAAGTCTTAAGCAACATCTGTGCTTGAAGTCTTGATTCTGGATATCTGAGTTCAGTTTTGAATTGTCTTTAAATTTGGATTACTACATATGCTAAATGACTTTTAAACTCTTTAAGTAATTAGTACTCATAGGATGAATGTTTTTTTTGCCTCACAAAATTTCCAATCGTATTGTAGCATGTATCTAAAATCCTTAGTGACTGAAATAGCTACTGAAGGGATCACAGAATCACAGAATTGTAGGGGTTGGAAGGGACCTTCAGAGATCATCGAGTCCAACCCCCCCCTGCCAAAGCAGATTCCCTACACCAGGTCGCACAGGTAGGCATCCAGGCAGGTCTTGAACATCTCCAGAGAAGGAGACTCCACCACCTCCCTGGGCAGCCTGTTCCAGTGCTTTGTCACCTCACTGTAAAGAAGTTCTTGCACACATTTTGCGGAACTTCCTATGCTGCAGTTTCTGGCCGTTTCCCCTTGTCCTGTCTCCACTCACCACTGAAAAGAATCCGGCCTCACCATTCTGCCCCCCACACCTTAGATATTTATAGACCTGGATCAGGTCCCCTCTCAGTCTTCTTTTCTCAAGGCTGAACAGACCCAGTTCACTCAGCCTTTCTTCATAGGAGAGATGCTCCAGGACCTTCACCATCTTTGTGGCCCTCCACTGGACTCTTTCCAAGAGATCCCTGTCTTTTTTGTACTGGGGAGCCCAGAACTGGACGCAGTACTCCAGATGAGGCCAGATAAATGGGGGATAAATGTGGATAAATTAATGTACAAAGTCTTGAAGCAGTTAGTGATTGTTGCAACTGTTCACATTACAACAAGGTTATATTTATTTAATAGCTGGACACTACACAAGTGCGCAATTGTTCTTAGAGATTTTTTAAGTAGTTCAACTTTTTATTGCTTCTGTGTCTCTTGGTCTTGAGAAGTAGTGCAAATCAAGATCACTTTCATTTGTAAGACTGACAGACAGAGGAATCTACTGAAGTTACTGGCTATATGCGTAGTTTAATCCAAAACCACCCAGCAATATAATGTTCTGTCTCATCCTGTAGAGTTGCAGTATATAATAATATATAAATATAATAATATATATTTTATACATAATATTTATTTATATATGTATATATATATAATATTATAATAATGTAATATAATAACCCGTAATGAAATTTGTGTAAAAATAGCTGTCAATAATTAATGACAGAAAAAAAATAAGTCCTTTAAAATGCACTCAGGAGAGCCTAAGGTGACTCCAGATTTTATCAGGAAATAGATAAAATGAGTTGTTAATATTACTGGCACAATGAAAAGAAATTTTTTTCACAAGCCCATTCCCAAAAATAGAAAGTAGGTTACAAATAGACCGTGAAAGAAATCATTATTCCTCCATACTTTGCAGTTCTCCAGAGTTACGTATGAGAAGTTGCCTTTTCCCCCCCAGAGTTCTGTGTGTGCAATTCACTCTAATTCAGCAAATCCCACTCTCAGCCTCCCAGGAAGCAACCGCTTCATGAACTTGCAAAAGCTCCTTGACTAAAACTCTGACAGACAGAATTCTGGTAAACTATATCTAGCACTTAGTTTAATGATCTGGAGTTTCTGATCTTCAAAAGAACACTGACTTTTCTATGCCTCTAATTGCTTCCCCATCCCACAGTCTGAGTTTTCATATTCAGAGAATAAAGCAAGATTAACTTCAGGGAAAACCTCAAATGCTTAAGGAAACCCACAACATACCACTTTCTTCTAAATGTATAAAGTCTCAAAGAAAAGAACACATCCCAAATTTTCCAAAGTAGCTTTGCAACATTGAGACAGAAGCTGAGGATTAAGTAAGTTGGTGCATTCCAACATATTTATGTGTTAAATAATGAACCAGATATATGATATCACCTTATGACATGGATTTCAGGAAAGTTATTAATAGTTTGCTTCACATGCTAGTTGTGAGCTTTATTATCAATTTCAGCTTTGAGTTTGAATACAAAAATTTATAGTATTTTATAGTTTCACATAGTAATTTCAATAACATACTGATTTAATATGGAGATTAAATTCCTCCTTATAGAACTTTGAGCCTTACCACTGTGGTCGTACAACTTCCTGCAAACTTGGGACCTGCCATGGTTCTCATGCCTCAGCTATCTAAGGCAAGGAGGTGCTCTGAGGAGACAGTGATACTAAATACACACAGTGCTTCCTCCAGAATGAATTTCAGGTAAAGAAAAAAAGATTTGCTCACAGCAGAAAATACCTAGTCTCACT